ATTTTTTTTTAAGATTTTTTAAAAATTTATTTATTTGAAGGGGGGGCGGTTAGAGAGAGAGAGAGAGAAAGCACAAGAAGGAGAAGAGAGAGAGGGAGAAGCAGACCACTGAGAAGGGAGCCTGATGCAGGGCTCTATTCCAGGACCCTGGGATCATGACCTGAGCTGAAGGCAGACGCTTAACTGTGCCACCCAGGTGCCCCACCACCAAAAGACCTTAAAAGGCAGGTAATTAGTGTAATTAGTGCTTTTAAAAATTTAACAGTTAAGAACAAAAGAAGCTATTGTGTATTGCGAATCTAAAGCATTTTTCCTTGAATTAGTAATAATGCAAGAACTGATTTCTGTGCAGTTTACAAAATACAGTGCACATCTACTAGCCTTTATCTCAAGTATGTTAAAACATAATAGGAATTTTGCTTTCTGAGAGTAAAAAAGTAAAATGGCATCCATATTTTAATTTTGAAACCAACTACTTGATCTTTGAGCTCATGAAATGGGTACTTTGTTCTTATAGTTCCTTGACATTTGTTGCCATCTAGTGTTCACATTAGCACATTGCATGCTAAGTAAATGCACACGAGGAATTATTTTATATTCTATACTTACATTGACGATGGCAGTGAAAACATCCGAGGATTTTATAAGATAATAAATCTATAACACGAGAAAGCTATAATGCCATTTAGCTGTGGAACTACCCTGGCTCAGATCTCTACTCTGCCACTTTTTAGGTCTGTGATCCTGGGCAAGTTACTTAATGTCTCAGAGCTGCTCAGTTTCTTCACTCAGCTGAGTGATAAGAACTATTAAAATTTAGCGAGAGTGTTAAATAAATTAATCCATGTAAGCCACTTAGCAAAGTATCTGGCACATGGTGAGTGATCAATAAATGGTTTTGATTTACTCTGAAAATTGTAAGCCATTACAACCAGGGATCATTTTAAAAGAGGAAAAACATATCCTCAGAATAAATGAGGGTGGAAAAGCAGAAGTTTTGCAGTGATGCCTTGGTAAAGCTACAACATGAAATGGTTAACCAGGCCTCAGACCTGCTTGCTTCTATCTTAAGGGACATTGTTGGCTTTAGCATGAAGTTATCATGACTGTATCTATAATGAGATAACCCTCCAAGGGAAGATTTAAAAAACAAAAAACAAAAACCCAGGAGGTTGAATAAATGTCCCCAAAACTTTTATTTTCCTTTCTAAATTATTCTTTTTCTTAGACTATAGAAGAATCAGAAAGGTGAAAATTAGAAACCTAAAGTAAAAAGATCAAGACATTTGGTCCTTTGACTGCAAGCACAGGCAGAGAATATAATGCTTTTTATTTTTTCTTTTTGAGAGAGAGAGAGAGATTGAGCAAGTAGGGTGTGGGGCAGGAAGGAGCAGAAGGAGAGGCAGAGAATCTTAGGCAAGCTTCATGCTCAATGGGGAGCCTTTCATGGGGTTCGAACTCACGACACTGAGATCACGACCTGAGCCAAATTCAAGAGCCAGATGCTTAACCAACTGAGCCACCCATGTGCCCCATCGCTGCTTGATATGTACATTATCTGCCACAAAACAAACAAATTATAAACATCTTGAAAATGGGAGATAGGAACAGACTGACTGATAGGTTTCTAGCAAGCAAGAGTTTATAAATTAAAAACAAATGGTTGTCATTATTTATAAGTTACCTGCTTAAAACATATTGACAGCATTTTAGTTTTGTGGGCTATAGTTCATAAAAATGAAAACATTTTCATAAGTTTTTATGTGAATTTTAAATTTAATTTTTTAAGTGTGAATTTTGTTATTTCTCATAAGATCTTTAATTCTTGAATTGTGAATTCTTTGATCACAAGGATTTCTAGAAACCTAGCCCTAGCACTCGGGAAGGACTTTCATATGTCCTAAAATAGGTTTCCTATTTTAAAAAATTCAGTTGACTAGATATAAATTTGTTTCAGAAAATGTTTTGGCCCCATTAAGACAGTAATCCATACTTGTTGGTTTAATAAAACTAGGGCTGGGAATATCAAGTCCAATAAATTATGTTTTGAATAATGTGTTAATGTGGCCAGCATAGAATAACCACAATTAAAGAAATTTCCCAGAAGAGAAAAGGTCCCTTGAGGATAGAGTCAACTGGGTGGGGGAATAGTCTAATTCCCTCAACTTCTCAAGAGCAACAACCACTTCCACCAAAAAGGGGCTGTGCTCAGGGAAAGAAAGAAGCTACCCCCTTGGGAACCACTGGGAGAAATGGCAGATGCAGGCCCCAGAAAAACTTGGGCCTCTCTGAAGATCTATCAGTTAGCTGTAACTGACCATTTACTGACCTCGCTTGTGAGAATTCAATTATGCCTTTATGGAATGGTTAGATGAGCAGAATCAGGTAGTACTGGATCAACTGGGATTCTGGAAACTGGGAGAGGGAGCCCTGGAATAAAAAGGTAAAGCTTTGGGGCACCTGGGTGGCTCAGGGGTTAAGCATCTGCCTTCTGCTCATGTTGTGATCCCAGGGTCCTGGGATCAAGCCCCCAGTCCTCCTTGGGCTCCCTGCTCAGCAGGGACTCTGCTTCTCTCTCTCCCTCTGCCACTCCGCCTGCTCGTGCTCTCTCTCTCTCTCTCTCAAATAAATAAATTCTTTTTTCTTTTTAAGGTAAAGCTTTAATGGAAAGAGTGTATAAGTATTTGTCTATTTCCCCTTGGCCTTCTAGTGCATGAGGTCCACAGTAAGAAAGCTATCTTTAAAAAGATTAAATCGCTTCTCTAAATCCAAGTGTTACTGATCCTTCATAATTTTCTTCATTGGGATCAGGCATATATATTAAAATCAAGACAAATAAAAGTCCTTACTTTTACTCATACTTCCTCATCATTACCTCTCCATGATGGCCAGTCCTAATAGGGAGAAGGCTTCAGCAATGGTTTTAAGTGATTTACAAGTTCTTGCCTTGTACTTTGTACTTTTCGTTTATATCATCTTACGCTGGCATTAGGCCCCTTCCCTGTCAGGATCATTTACTGTTCCTTGTTTCCAAACTGACTGAATTCTTGGAATTGATTCTTTGGTTGTTCTTCATGTCAGCCTGCTCTTTGATCTTCAGCAGTCCCTTCCACTGTTCTGTGCTTAATAATGTTGACTCCTGAGTTTTTGTTCAATGAAAAAGCTACTGATTGGAAATATTGGTTTATAGTCAATAATCATTTTATTCTTTCATGCCACGGGTATTAGATCTTTGAAAGTTATGAAGATTTTTATTAGACTCATATAAAATATTTTTCATGGGGTGCCTGGGTGGCTCTGTCGGTTAAGCATCTGCCTTCGGCTCAGGTCATGATCCCAGGGTCCTGGGATTGAGCCCCACATCAGGCTCCCTGCTCGGCAGAGAGCCTGCTTCTCCCTTTCCCTCTGCCTGCCGCTCTACTTGTGCTCTCTCTCTTCCTCTGTCATATAAATTAATAATGTCTTAAAAAAAAAAAAAGATTCTCTCTCTCCCTCTGCCCCTCCCCACCCCCTACTCATGCTCTCTCTCAAAAAATATATAATAATAACAAAATAAAATGTTTAAAATATTTTTTACAACAGCAACTGTGTTATGAAGCACAAAAATCTCAAATTCATAATGTTTCACGCTCCGAGGGCTTAAATTATAGAAAAACTATGCTTTTTCACTTCTTTTAAAATCTAATAGAAGATTTTATTTTACAGACATTCTCAACTAGAATTGGACTTGGTACCAAGTCCCTAGGAGAATCATTTCTCAGTCACTGGATGTGCTTGTCAGTTAATCTGAGACAGTTGAGTTTTACCCTCATATTTTATGCCTAGGAGTGCAGAAACTTTCCAGAAGAATTTGAAAGAAATTAGGGTTTAATGGTTTCCGAATGAAGATAAGCAAATTCACATACCCTAGATTATTTGTCTGTATTTATTATAGCTTTCACCAGAGGGAAGCAAAGCTATGCATAGAACTTGCAATGCTTACTGAGACCACTTCCCTCACCATTAACAGCAAGTGTGACTATCAAATGTATAACTTGATACATACTTACACAGTTTGTAGGTCATATGAGACCTGGGTTTCTTGGGTTGATAATTCAGAGGAACATGGTGGCTTTGAATGAGGTGAAGATTGGATATTGGATAAGAGCCACTGGGAGAAGACTAAGACAGCATAGAATGACTCAGACTTTGTGTGTCAAGCACCTTACCTTTACTGGGGTTTTTTAAAATTGGAATTTTGAAATTAGTTTATTATTGGGTATTTGGCATAAAGGTACTGTGGATGTAGTTAAAAGGAAGTTAGAAAGTTTTTACTTCTAGAAATTCAGAGTGGGAAATTGAGACTAAAGAACAATTATGGACTTATAAATTACCAGCAGTGAGAGATGGCACTTCTCATTTCGTGAAACTAGGGAGTAAATGTTGTTTTGAGTCTTTTTTTATCTAAACTTTTTATTATTACATAATTTTTACTTTTGTTATGTTTGGAAGGAGAGTGAGCTAAATCTTATCTTAGTTATATTTAAGGGAACTTGATTATTTGATAATGTTAAAAATAGATGCTTGTATATAGGTACATTTCATTTTAAATTTTGAAGCATTTCACTAATTTTTAACCATAAGCAAATGAAAAGTTAGTTAAATTGGATACTTATATATTTCATTTAGAATAGACATGCTATATAATTGAAAAATATTAGAACACTTGATTTCTCTGATGCCGTTTTTCAAAATTTGGATTCATCTGTGGCCTTCATCGGGTTCCATTTACCTGAGTTTTCTTAGTTGCTTAGTTAATATAGTCTTAATTGTGAAAATTGAAATGTGTGAATAAATGTACCATTTGAATTGTATTTTAGTTCTATAAGTGGTATTGACAAATATAAAATTATTCTAATGGGCTTTACAGTGACTTGTGATGATTCTAAAGAAAATTAAAGCTTAATTGTCTCATTTTCGCAAATTCTGAGGCCCCATTTCACTCCATCTTACTCTGGCAGGCTTTAATCCAGTGTGAGCAGTTGAAGAATCAACTGGAGAGACAGACAGAGCGACTTGAAAAAGAACTCGCATCTCAGCAAGAGAAAAGGGCCCTTGAGAAACAGACGATGAGAAAGGAAATAACAAAAGAAAGGGAAGACGTGGGATCAAAGGTACTTTCGGATTCACTTTGTTACCCGCTGCGGCAGAAATGTTTGTGGTGATGTGACTGATGATGCTGTAGGCTGCCATTCTTGAATGAACACTCAATTTAAAAACCTTGTAAGTAGTCAATTGCTTATAATTTAGAGTTCATAAAAATTTTCCATTTTTCCATGTATTTCTCAAGGAAAGTTATATTCTTGGACCTCTCTGAGTAAAATAATCAATTGATTCCATGATAGGAAACTGTAAAATTATACTTTGATCCCACCATTCTGTTTGATTCCTTCTCTCATGTTTGTTAGAGAAAAGCAGGTGCTCTGCAGATACCCAGATTTTATTTCAACGTGGGCTAAATCCAGGAGAGATGACTCCCCCACCATATTCCCTCTCTCTCAAATTAGACCTGTAGAAGATGAAACACGTGTAAGAAACCAAGTAACCGAGAAAAAATAATTATATACACTGTACAAAGTAGGTTCTGACAAATTGCATGATGAATAATGAACATAACCAGATGAACACATGGAAGGAAGAGATGAAAGGCAAAAGGAACAGCTAACATGAAATGGGCAGTGTTTGGAAAACAGTGATAAACTGGAATACAGAATTGAAACCTAGCTTTGAAGTTGCTGCAATGGGGGCGCCTGTGCCTCAGTCAGTTAAATGTCCGACTCTTGGTTTCCATCAGGTCACGATCTCAGGGTCGTGAGATGGAGCTCCAAGTTGGGCTCCGTGCTCAGTGTGGAGTCTGCTTGGGATTCTCTCTCCCTTTCCCTCCCCCTTCCCCCAGTTCACACGCTATCTCACTCTCTCTCTAAAATAAATAAATAAATCTTTAAAGTTGCTACAATAGAGTAAAAACTGAGCAAGATAGGGTCCATAAAGTAACCAAAGCAGCTGTTACATGTTTTGTTTTGTTTTTAAAGTGACTCGCAGCTTATACCCTGAATGCTTTATTATAATATTCCAGTGTGTGATAATTACATCACTCAGCACGTATCTACTGAGTATCTGCTATGTGCAAGGCAATGTGTAATCCTGAGGATATATAAAGAGAAGAATCACAAGTTCTGTCCAGGGGATTTTAAGGCTTATGGGTGTCTGAGGCATTTACTGTAAACTCCCTTGTCTTAGGCTTTAGAAAAATGGCGCCTGTCAGAACCTCACTCTATGTCAATCAAACCGTCTACCTTCTCTGGCCTTGATGGGCGATCTGAGCCTTGCAGACAGCACCCCTGTGCATCATGACCCTAGTGTCCCTGGTGCTCCTGCTGCTTCAGCAGTCCCACCGTGCATTCCTCTCCCCTGTTCATTCCACATTCAACAGAAAGTAACTGGAGGGCCTGGGAATGTGCGGTCCTGCTTCCAGAGGAGGGAGGAGGAAGACATTGGACACAGACTTCCCTGAGTGAGTTTGTAGTTACCACTGTGATAAAGGCAAGGAAATACAGTATAGGGTACCATGGGAGTATGTAACAGGCACGTCTGAGTGAGTCCAGGTGGTCATGAAAGACTGTCCTATGAAAGAGATTTTGAAAACGAGACTCAACAGGGTTGACTAGGAGCAGTCAGGTGAAGAGTTGAGGGGAAGAGATTCAAATGGGAAACGACACCCCCCAGACACTGAAGCTAAAGAGCATCATACTTTTTAGGAATTTAAAGAAGGCCCAGGTGACTGGAGCATAGGAAGTGGGGACAGTAGCAGGAGATGAGTTTGGAATAGTATGTAGAGACCAAAGCATGAATGGCCTTAAAATGCATGTGAAAGATTTTAAATTTTATCCAGAAACTAATGGAAAACCATCGAACGATTTTAAATTGGGCAGCATCATGATGCCATTTATATTTGAGAAGTACCATCTGTCAAGAGATTGGAAGGAAAATCAGAATAAATGCCTGGAGATCAGGTGGGAGGTAATTATCCTAGTCCAGGTGGCAATGATGGTATCTTGGGCCCATTTTCAAGGACTATTTTAAATCACTTTTATTCTGCTCAGATTCTCTACTATACCATCGTTCCCCTCATTATCAGCAGAGAGCCTTACTTACCTAACAAAGAAAACTCAAAACTTCAACTATTTATCTTCCCCCTTACCTGTGACTTCAAGTAAAATTTCACCAGCATGCCAACCGTGTCAGAACAGGAGAAGCCTCACGCTAATTCATTCCCCTTGCTCTGGGTTCCATTCTCTTCCTCCACCTCTGGGAGGTCATTTCTTTTCTTTCTTTCTTTTTTTTTTAATTTAAAGATTTTATTTATTTATTTGAGAGGGGGGTGGGGCTGAGGGGGAGGGAGAGGGACAAGCAGACTCTGAGCTGAGTGTGGAGCCCGTTGTGGGGCTAGATCCCAAGACCCTGAGATCATGACCTGAGCCGAAAGCAAGAGTCGGGTGCTCAACCGACTGAGCCAGCCAGGCGCCCCTCAGGGATGTCATTTCCATTCTCCTCCCCCGCTGAATCCTCTTCCTTATAAGGAGAATCTGCACAAGTTTCTGTCATCCATTGAAAGAAACAATCTTCCAACCAGTGGTTCTCAATCTTGGCTCCATAGAGGCTCCAAAAATCTTCCTGCCCAATCTGCATCCCAAACCGAGATGTGTAAATAGCTGTGGGTAGGATTCAGGTGTCAGTATTTTTAAAGTTGTCCAGGTGATTCCAATGTGCAGCCAAGGTTGGAAGCCACCTCAGTAATTCCATGGCCCTCCTTGCTTTTCCCCGTAATGGGCACATTTCTTGAAAGGTTTGTCTGTACTTGTTGTCTTCATTCTCTCACCTCTCATTATGTTCACCGGAGCCCTCCTTGTGCTATTTTTTAGGTAATATTTTTTAGTTCTTACTCCCTTTAAAAGATTCTTTTTCCTTGATTCCTTTGGATCTATATTCTTGATTTGACAGAATGATGATGTGTGCCTTTCAGTTTGCTCTGAGTTTAAAGTGCCTTTGAGACAAGGAAACACATCCAGAAAACAGCTTGATGGAAAGTTCTAGAGTTTAGCAGAGAGCTTTAGATTTCGGGGTCTTTGGCATTACTGCGGCTCTCAGTTTCATGTATATGGAATCGATTCCTAAATCCTCAGCTCTCTAGTGAGCTCCCAAACCAGCTTCACTTCCCATCTTCCCTCTCCCAGGGAACCCCCAAATCTTGCTGGCATTCTTGTGTCCTTTCTCTCACTCACCCTACTCATCATTATGTCACCAAATTCTAGAGATTCAGGTGCCTAGGAATTTTCCATTGCCCTGTCTGTCCACCCCACTGCTATCCATACCTCACCCCTGGATGATTTCTAGCCCCAAGCCCTCTCCTTGCTTCCGGTCTCACCTCCTTCTCATCTAAGCCACAGGCAGGATGATCTTTCTCAAATGAATACGTCAATATGTCAGTCTCTTGCTTTAAAATGCTTTCATGTCTCCTTACAACCCCTTGGATAAAATTTAGGATCCTTTAGCATCACATGAAAATTCTACATTTCTCTTCCTCTCTTTGGCTCTCCAGTCTCATCTCCCTCCACTTTTCTTCCTGGTATTGACACCATACTGACCTACTGCACTAACTCCAACACAGACATGCCAATCTGCCATACTGTGTTTTCATTTTAGGATTTTGCACATGCCTTGCCCCTTGCCTAGAGGAATCCTCTGCCCCATGCCCTCTCTAAGTGATCCTTCAGAGTTCTTCTGGTTACCACCTACTCCCAGAGATGAATTGAGAGCCTCTCCTGTGGGCTCCTGTAACTCAATTAACTGAAAATTCTTACTGAATTGTTTGTGTCCCCCAATTTACTATGAGTCCCTTGAATGTGTGGTTGGTTAACATCATCATTGCTTGGCACATCCCACTCCCATAAAATGTTCTTCACCTATATTTGTTGAATGAATGAATGAATGAATGTAGTACAAGGGGAAGGTATGACGAAGATGTTTATTCAGAGGATCAGAACGGTCTGTGTCTGCAAGAGATCATGGAAGATTTTGTGAGGAAGGTGGCATTTTAACTGAGTTTCAAAGTGTAGGTAGGATTCAGAAATGCAGAGCATGGGGGGAGGAATGCTGGCTATAACCAAGGAGAGTGAGGTGTGGAGTGGGGGTAACTTTGTGAATTGCGTGTTGTGTGTGTGACAGAGAATGGGACCCATAGCAAAGACCAGCTATGTTTTGCCCACAGTAATCCTTGGCTGGCATTGAATCTCAAGGTCCTGCCCTAAATAAAGTGACTGAATGAAGAGCTGAGAGTGATCCTAGCACTCGGGCAGGTGCTTTCACCAGGAAATGGTAGCAAGTGGCTTTGGAGTCAAAAGATTTAGAGTTGAATCCAGGTTGAACTTTCTGTGACCTTGAATAATTCGTTTAACCTCTCCCATGTCAGAGGAGTAAGAAATGGAGTTGATCTACTTAAGAAATTGGTAGGATTAAATCAGAATGTTTCAAAAGGGCCTAATATACCTGGCCTAGAGTGGACATTTAGTAACTCTGAAACTCGAGGCTATTATCATTCTTACTCCAGAGAAAGAGAAGCTGCCTGATGGGATAGATTTCTCTGTATGAGTAAAGCAGACAGATTTGAATATAAAGCCCGGCTTTACTTTTTATTCATTAGCTTCAATGAACTTAGGCACATGCCTTAATTTTCTGAATCTCATTTTTTTCAACTGAAAATTAATTGAGTGTAATTCGTCCTTCAAGGGGGGATGAAAAGTGAGAATATGTATCACACTGCCTGGCAGATGAAGTTAGTCTAAGAGGGAGACTGAGCAATTCCTCCTAACGTTGTGAGAGCTCTGTAGTTAGGAATTAAAGCAAGCACCACCCGCCCCCCCCGCCCCCGGGCCTTTCCGAGCAGTCAGGAAAGCTTGTGAGACTTTTAGACTTTCTTCCTCTCTTTTTATTATTTTTCTTCTTTCCTTTCTCCTGACTTGTTCTCATTAAATTTCGTGTGTGTGGGAAGCTCTAAGAGAGCAGATGTCTTCTACCTAGACAGATTTTGAATCATCCCCCCATGAATAGTACTTGCTGTGAGTTTGTTTGTTGTCTTTGGTTATGGTCCTTGGCTGCTCTGAGCCCCTGGGTTTGTTAGTTCAATCAGTCATTTATCATATTTAGTGAGCAACCCCTATGTGGTCTACTCTTTTTTTTCAGTTGGTTCCCTTGATAATAGTCCATGGCTAGAATCCTTCATTCTTGCACCTGTTCTATGGCGAGTACCACTTTATACCATGTTGAGGCCACTAGGGACTGCTTTAGCTGAGAGATTTCCATCAAGCTCTCCCAGACCGGGTGTCCTTGTCTCTTGCTTGCCCCTGTCAAAGTTTAGAGGACTTAGCTGATGTCGGCGCCCTGGACATCCAGCAGTGTTGCTGCTGTCTGTGTGACTTCTGTCTCCGCAACAGATGTGGATGGAGAAGCTCCTGCAGTGTAATGCTGACTTCCAGATGGTGGGCGTGGGGAAAAAGAAGGTGTGACAACAGGAGTGGAGGCCTCAGGAAGTGGGTGACAGGAGGGAGCAGACAGGTAGTGGGCAGAGGAAAGAAGTGATGGGTGGCAGAGGGAGGGAATCAGATGGAAGGAGTGTGATTCGGTACATGCTTATAATAGAAACTGAGTTGGAATTTACAATTAGCAAGTGAATGTCTGTCTGCATATTTACTTCAGAAACCACCGATGTTAATATGTTTACCATAAGATATAGCTTCACATAAGTATGAGTAGCTGGTAATTGAAGTTTCCTGCTGTTGTATCCGGAAAAGCTATAATTACCTTCATAATATGGATACTCATGAACTTGAATTTTTTAAATTAAGTATATAAATCTCATTATTGGTTGCATTTAATTTCTTTTGACTTTCAATTTGGGGTTCAGATTGCAATATGCATTAGGATAGTTTGTAGCCTGGTATTAGTAAAAGTAATTTTATGTGCAAATTAAAATTTTTAGTCAGTCTTTTGATGATAAGAAGGACATGTAAACAACCATAAGTCAAATGTACAATTCTCTACAATCCCCAGCAAAGTTAATTAATACATCTACCATTTAATTAGAAAATCGCTACCAGGGCTCATTATTTTCATATGTGTCAACTTGAGCTAGTTACATAATTCGAAGGCAATCTTGATTTTTATCACAAACTTTGCCTTATTGATTTTAGTTGTAAAACTGAATTCACACCCATGTCCATGTACAACAGTAAATTTAAAATACTCTTTCAGTTTTGTTACAAGCTCTTGTGTAACAGATTAAACACTGATAGGTATCTCTCTATGTTTCCCTCTCTAGGAAGGTAGCATTTCTTTTTCACTTTAAAGCTGCCAATACAAATAAAAAATTAAGAGTCTAGGAAGTTTTTACTTCCTGGAGCAGAGTAAAATGTAATTGCAAATAAAAAACTGTAAAGGTTAAACGTGAGATCTAGAAAGCATTTCTCGCCCTGGGAAGAAAAAGTAAGAAGCTGACATTCATAGAGTGGATGGTTCCTCCGAAAAGCCGTTCATCACAGTGACCTGTTCATCCCAGTGATCTGTTCTTTCATCAAACATTCGGTGCCTCTTGAAGAACATGCCCTCGAGGAGCTTGTAGTCTACGGGAGCAAACAGACAACGAGACAGTGGGATAAGTGCCAGGCTGGAAGTGTGCAGACGTTCAGGCTGCAGTGTGATGGAGACATATAGAGGTGGTTGGGGCAGCTCGTGCCAGAGAGAGAGTCAAGATAGTAAGCCACCAGTACTGTGGGGGCAGCAATCCGTGCCAGTGGGTGCTCGCTGCCAACAGTAGGCATGGCTGTCCCAGGGCGCAGTGGCTGAATAGCAACCCTGGGTGTGGGAAGGGGTTCCTATTTTGTGCTGGGAGCCAGAGGTCCTAGAAACCTTCCTGAGGAGAGGGGATGATGGCTGAGAGGAGGAATGAGGGTAGCTAGAGAATGAGAGCTCTCCAGCTCTCCCATCCTGTCCTTTTATCCTTCCATGTGGGAGAAGGGTTTAAGACTTCCCAGATTTTTTTTTAAAGATTTAATCATTTTTTGAAAGATTTATTTATTTATTTGAGAGAGAGCACATTGGGGGAGGGGCAGATGGAGAGGGAGAGGAGAGAATCTCAAGCAGACTCCCTGCTGAGCGGGGAACCCAACATGGGGCTCGATCTCAGGACCCTGAGATCATCACCAGAACCAAAATCAAGAGTCTGATGCCTAACTGACTAAGTCATCCAGGTTCCCCACACTTCTCTGATTTCTTGACATCACCTTTGAAATTTATTCCTGTCAGTCCCTTCCACAGCTTATATGATTATCACCTTAAGGTTTCAACCCAAACTTTGATTTTTATCATCTTGTATGTGTTTCCCAAAATGAGGGTAGAGACCAGAGAATGAATCAGAAGGAAGTACATATTTAAGTCATGGGGGATGGGTGAGTTGAGGAAGCAGAAAAACGGACATACCCAATTCACAGAGAAATGACTTAAGAGCAAACCCAGTAGCCATGCAGAGACTCCCATTAATTCAAGATTTTTTTTTTTTACATAGTATTATATTAGTCTCAGGTGTACAATAGAATGATTCAGCAGTTCTATACATTGCTCAGTGCTCATCAAGATAAGTGTACTCTGAATCCCCTTCATCTATTTCACCCATCCCCCCCATTCACCTCCCTTCTGGGAACCACCTGTTTGTTCTCTGTATTTAAGAGTCTGTGTCTTTTTGTTTCTTTGTCTCTTTTTTTTCCCTTTGTTTCTTAAATTCCAGAAATGAGTGAAATCATATGGTATTTTGTCTTTCTCTGATTTCTTTCACTTAGCATTACACTCTCTAGGTCCATCCATGTTGTTTCACGTGGCAAATTCTCATTCTTTTTTATGGCTGAGTAATCAATGTTCTTAATATTTATTTGGTCAAATGGCATTATCGTTTAGGACTTTTATTTCCTCTTATAGATGTTGTCCCTGTCTCAAAATATTGCCCAACTGGAGGCCCAGGTTGAAAAGGTTACAAGAGAGAAAATTTCAGCTATTAATCAACTCGAAGAAGTTCAAAACCAGCTTACTTCCAAGGAAATGGATGTCACAAAGGTACAATGTGAGATTTTAGTTTAAAATTTTTTCCTAATGTACAAAGCCCAGAAAGCAGTTTGGAATGGAGAAGTTTTGTTATTTAAGATAGTAAAGATCCACATAATGGTCATTAAGCCAGCATTTACTTATTATTGGCAGGCCCTCTGATAGGTGCTGCAAATACAAAAGATGAATTAGACACAAATAATGTCCTGGAAGAACTGAAGGTTAAGTGGCTGGGACAGACTTATCAATAAGCAAGTTTCATTACTTTAATCATTGAATATTTGGTAAAACTTATATTTCTAAATTAGATGGGAGAAATGTTTGCCAGAGATAGCATGGCTTTGGTCTCCACAATGATAGTAAAAGATTTATTTACCACATGAAGAGTGTGCTTAACATAAAAAATTCTCCACCTCCCATTCCTTTTCAGACCTGGTCTCTAAAATCGAGGCTCCAATACTAAGTGTCTTATTTTATTGGTCCCTAAATTTATACTTTAAAATATCACAGTGTCAAATAAATAAATAAAATCTTAAAAAAAAAATATCACAGTGTCTGTGCTATGGGCATTACAAACTTGTAAACCAAAACTAAATTGTTCATAGTCTTCGCTGGTCACTATAACATACGTATTTATGAAACACTAAAGTCCATGTGGATTTCAGCAATAAGTTGCTTTAAAACTAAGCAACTAATTATAGGCATGCATGATGTAATAAATTAAATTGATTGATTTTTTTTAACAATTGACACAGATGATTTTCTTTGAAATGCATACCTTTTCATACTGCATTTTATTTATCAATATATTTCCCTAAATGTTGACACATTTGTAATACCATTGTTACTTATAATTTAGTAATTAAAATTACCTTTAGTATATGGAAGAAACAAAGCCCCTATTTTTTTCTTGTTTTTCCCTTCAATTTCTGTAATTCTCCATTTGCTTTCTAAAATTCAAGCTAGCTAACATTAAAGTTTTAAAATACCATATTTGCCAATATCACCGATGTGTTTGTGTGGATCGTAGGGGTAGAAGTAAGGGAATGGATATAGAGGGCTGGCAGTGGTTAATCCAGATTTATGGGGGAAAGCTGGTGGTGAGAGTGTCCAGTCCATTGTAGGAAGAGAACTTCCTGTTGGAATGTGTGCAGTAAAGATGCCTCCTCTGCCTTTAGAACCGTCCAGAAAGACTGAAGCATCAGAAGCAGGCCTTGTGCTGGCTCCAACCCTGAGACATTGTTCCACTTCAATTTACTTCGCCAGTTTATTTTAGATAAACTTAGCAGATGCTAAAGTGAGAGTAGTACGGCAAGGGAACTTTAAAAGTAAAATTAAGGGATGAAATAATTCTAAATAAAACAATGCTTAGACATATAATAATAAACAATAATTTTGTATTGGTATTGGGTTTGAAACACCATGGCTGGGTAATTATAATTTTTTGGTATTATCAATTTGGGTTTTTTTCATTTCATTCATGTATATAAATCAAATAGGTTGGAATAAGAATAAGAAAGCAAGCAAATTTGGGCCCCTCTAATTTTTTTCTAACATTCTTAATTTTAAACTTTATTTAGCTTTAGAATTAATAACTTTTTGTAAATTACTAGTTTTTTTTTTAATGAGAGGGGTCAGCTCTGACACATTCAAGGCATTTGAATTTCAAATCAAATTTTTTGTAATTTTATTCTTTTTCTAGCATTTTGAGGGCCACTGGGAAGAAACTTACTGACTTTCCTCTGTCTTGTCACTATAACCTTTAGACCCAGATTTGTTTATTTTTCAAAGTATTTTTTATTTGAACATGGGAAATAGATACAGGTTTTTTGAGATTCTAATAACTCAATAATGATGAAAACTAATTTCTGAAGTTCTAATCATCAGTTTTGGAGAAATACCAAAATTGAAAAGTTTCAAGCAACTATAACCTTTAGATGATACATGATTTTTAGAAAGTTGTATTTGTATATCAGAGACTGAATTAGCAGACTTGTGTGTTAACTAATCTCTCTGCAGATTCTCAGTTATCTCAAAAGCTCATAATTTCTTTGTTTAGATTTATCTGCTGATTGCATTTTCCAAATTTATTTACCTGTCTGTAGAGGCCCTGGATTGAAAAAGAAAATTCTATAAAGGATGATACACAACACTCTTAAGATGCTATGTGTACTCATTATTTAATGATATGTTAAAATCATTTCACTTAAATGTATATTTTCCTTTTATGTTGAATGCTACAGTTATAAATGGTTCCAGTCTGTGCCTTTTACCAGACAATGTTTATCGACTTAAATACATCGCACTGTGCTTAAGATTGACATTATCTACAAAGATTACAGTAAATACTGGGTTCTACTGTACACCTAAATACTAAATCGTCTCTTAGCAGAGAGAAAAATTCCTTTATAAATTTCCTTAAATAAAAGCCTAACTGATCAAATCTTTAAAGGAAAACTTTACTATATAGAATAAAACTTTACTGTTTAAATCACAACAATTTGAATGAATATTCACATAGCTTAATATTTTAATTAATGATTTTATCTGCATAAAATAGAGATGATAGTGCATTTTGGATGATGTGCAATTGAAACTGTTATTTTGCACAAAAAAATTTGGGCACATTACTTAAATTTATTAGTTATACATTTCTTTATCATAATTTGAAATTGTTAGACTCAGTAATACCTGATATTGCCTTTACATCTTAACAGAATACATTGAATATTCTAACAGAAAATGCCGTTCTTAGCAAAGTTCTATTGTATTTTATTTATATGACCTCTAGGGGGCACCAAAAGATCTAATTGCAGGCATTGCCGGGTCGATTCCCGCAGCTATTGATCTAGTTTTTACAATCTAACAGGTGTGCGGGGAAATGCGCTATCAGTTGAATAAAACCAAAATGGAGAAGGATGAGGCAGAGAAGGAACACAGAGAGTACAGAACCAAAACTAAAAGGGATCTTGAAATTAAAGATGAGGTAAGAGATGACAAGTGTAATTACAACGATTAAAGACATAATTAAAGATGTAAGTTATTTATTTCTATTATATTGCTTCTAACTAATGGAACAATCCAGTTTATACTATTAAAAGAATTTCATTTATAGTTGCCTAAAATTATCACCTTTCACATGAAATGGTGAGAATACAACCGCCTGCATATAAAATCCCAATCTGACAGGTCATAAATATACATTTGGATATGTGTATCTATTACTTACAAAAGTAAAAAAAAAAAAATGTTCTAATGCACAGTTTGAACCTAAAATATACGTACATAAAGTTCTTGAAAGATGCCAACTTGAATCCAATTTTAAGTGAAAAAGTTTAAAATTTGTAAGATGAGATGAGTTGATATGTAAATATGTCAATCAAATTGATTGTTGGCAGAGCAAAACCAGTTTTAACTAAGATAACCATGAATACGTTTGCTCAAAAAGCCTTAAATACAGGGAGATTAGAAATGTTAGGGGAAAATGCTGCTTACTTCCATTTCAGTTGAACAGATGTTTTATGTTATATCTTTGTTGAGATCATGTAGATACTCCAATTTTAATTGATGACATGGATAAAGTTTTGAGAGAGGCAGTTCTAATAGACTCACTTTGGGTTTTCTATATTTGTGTTACAGTACAAAACATCAAAGGCTTTCATTCTTTATATTCAATGAAAGTAGATTGATAAATCTGTTCAATTAAAATGAGTTCTCAGTGTCAGCATTTTAAAAAAATCACCACAATTTAAAAGTAGGTAAACTTAAAATTAGTTTTTTTCAAATATATTTCTAGTTCATAGCTTTTTATCATACTTTCTAGCATCTTTTCCCTTTCAACCCAGTCAACTTTCTATGCAGATGATGTAAATAGATGATAGGGGAGTATTAAAAATGAAAGCGATAATGAAATTTAGTACTTGAAAAAGTTTTCCAAGTCATGGCTGAAATTCCTGGCACTAAATTAACATCTGAACAACCAGAATCAGATTCTGCTTTTGTACCACTATATTCAGAGTGTTATGAGTTTTAATTTTCCGAATTTTCATTATTAACGTGTACAGATAATGAAACTATTTTACTGCATCCAGTTGGGGGCGTGCCTGATAGTAGAATTGAAAATCTTCCATCAGCAACCCAAGATCTAGCACTACCAAGCCAAAAAGAACTTTCCTTTCCTTTCCTGATATATAATGACTTTTTTTTTTAAGGGTATCATCTTGGTATGCTTGCTAGCATTGTTAAATACTTTTGTATTATTCTATAGCACCTGCCCAACATAACAACTTGGACTAATTAGAAAAAAAATAAGAAGAGTGTCTGAGTTATTTAAAATTATAGGATAATGTTCTAGGGAGACAAAACACTGTCGGAATAATAAGATTACCATATCACTTGTAAATGAATAACGTGTAGAAGTATTTGTAATATTTGTCTTTTCAGAGCTCTAGCTCATTGCAATTAACCAGCAATGATGTGGAGGCCAAAGTGGCAGGATTTAAAAAGGAGCCAGTTTCATTTGTGAACATTTCCTGCTTACTAGTCAAACATTAGCAGTTTTCATAATGATTTCTAGTGTTGTTTTTAGATAAAGATGTGCCTTCTTAGGAGGTCGGAGGGTTAGGAATAAAACCTTGGAATGGTTACAAGGTATTTGTGATGGGATGTGCTTTTTATCATTTTCTCTTGGACAGAATGTGAGGAAATCTTATAGGTACTCTTTGTAACTATTTTGTATTGAGCAGACAGTTTCAGAAAGGAAAGTGGTGGTGTCTCATTCCGTGGATCTGGAGGAGCAAAGCAGCAATTGTTCTTTGGTCTTTCAGCCATGACCTGACCTTCTGTCTGGAAGACCAAAGAGCTACTTTGCTTGGCCACCATCTGCACTCAAGAGAGAAATTTACATTCAACTTTTAAAAGCTGGGCATGTTGAGCATTTATCAGAAATACTTATAATGACAGAAAGTGTATGTAACTTTTAAAGTGTCCCACATCATGCAATTCAGCATAACAAGATGGCCATCTCCCGGTTTACAGACAAAGCGTTCCTTGTAATATAGTCATTTTGTTCATATTTTTGTTAATCTGGCCTCTTGATACATTTTTAAAGTAGGTGGGAAACTGTGAGATTGGAATGTGGTCAGAACAAGAGCTTTTTTGATGTATATAAAACAGGGCAAATGGTTGACCACCAAAATCATTTTCTTTGTGACCCGAGCCTTGACTCTGGCATAATTAGAAGGAAGGGTTAGGGGAGGAACAATAGCGATCTCTTCCTCCCACTTTCTCCTTTTCTTTTTTATATTGTGTCAGGAGCCCATGGGCGGATTATCCTTCCCATCAACTCCTTTGTATCTCTTCAGCATAGAGCACTCCTGCCAGCCTAAGGAAGAAAAAAAGACATTTGGTATGGAGGAGAATGAAAAATCTGTGCCCTAGTTTTTATTTGAAATTTTTTTGTAGGCAACAGGTACACACACACACACACACACACAGAGTCCATTATGGGAATTGAAAAACATATAAAAAGAACGCTATAATGAATTCCCACACATGCATCACCTAGGTTTATCATTTTGCCAGTCCTGTTCTATCTGACATTTTTTCTCTCCTCCTTCATCTTCTTTGTCACTGTTTCTTCATCTTCTCTTCCACATCCTCTTTGTCTGTCTCCCTCTTCTGTTGCTCCTTTTGCTGAAGTAGATCTCAGACACAATGTTATTTCACCAGTGAATCCCTCAGCCTGCATCTATGAGGATTGTTTTTTGTACTCACTATGTCATCATCACACCTGACAATACTAACAGATTAATATCTTGTAGGGCCCAGCCCATACCCACACTTCTCTGTTTCACGGTCGGTTTATTCAAACCAGACACACAGTGTGTTTTTGTATGTCTGAATGTTACGGCTTTATCTTCTTTAATAGGGAATAAAGGGATATCTTAGCAAAATTTTGACTTTCTTTATCTGTTGTTCTTATTAAATGTCATACATATGTTTTGACTGTGCTTTATATAAGGTGTCTCATCATCATTCTAAAGAAATATGAATTCATCCTACAGCAACTATGTGAGGGAAGTGACCCCCATGAAGCAACCCCAATCATCATATCCCTTTAGAGTCTGAAACCTACAATTTGTAATTAATTTCAGAGCCTTACATTTAAGGTCGGGGAATGCTGCAGGAAGCCCCGTTATTACCCTGGCATCAAGGTTAGCTTACAAAGGATGCATAAGTGGAATTTTCCTTGCTACCTTCCATTCTAGTAGATGAATCTCAGAAGGGTTGATCGGGGCATAGTGTAAAAGGAAAATGCAGGGGCCTGTGTCCAAAATGCAGGAAAAAAGTGATGCAGAGGTATCACAATATAAAATATTGTCCTTTCTCTTATAATCTCTCTTCCCCCCCTTCTCCCCCTCCCCCTTCTCTCTCTCTCCCTCTTGTGCAGTTGCAGTGTCCTGTATTTGACATTTCACCTTGGCCTCTGTCCCTTGCAGGCATACTCATGGGGGGATGCAGGCATAGTGGTACCTGGATCAGGACGAGCAGAGATTCCACATTGGGCCTACTGAGTGTGCAGCAGTGATAGCAGTTGGAGGCAGAGATGGTCCCCTCCGTGTCCCGGGATGTCAGGGGTGACACACTCCACCTAATCTTCCCCAGACTCACATCCCGGCTCCTGCCAGAGGCAGAGGGCCACAGCAGAACACAGCCCCGACCCCACCCTCCCACTGCCATGACCTGGTTCCACCCAAGGCAGAGGGCAGCCAGATCCCCAAGTGTGGGCCAGAGAGGAAGATTCAGGGGACAGGTGTCTGAGTCCCACCTCGGGGCTGCTGGGAGGAGTAAAGAGAAGACCACAGATATGAGCGGGGGTTCCACCATCCCACCAGACTTCTCTGATGAAACGCCAGTGCCAGTGTATAATCAGTCATTACAAACTTCAAGATGTTGAGCACAGAGCATTAAACAGCGAAGCTCAGCACCCTCCTAAACACAGGGCCCTGTCGGACTGCCCCGGCCACATGCCCATGATGCTGCCAAGGCCGCGGGGGAAGGCAGGGGGAGGTTTGGTGTACAGCTGCAAGGAGATACACACCCACTTAAGCCTGCAGACGTGCACGAGTGTCTAACACGCCCATGTACCCGCACCGTAAGAGAGGGCTGACCACGGCCCCTCGTGGGCCAGTCTGACCCACTGCCTCTTCCTACAGATGGAGTCGTGTTAGAACCCAGCCGCCTCTGTTCATTCGCGGATTGTCAGTGGCTGCTTTCCGCGGCACAGGCAGAGTCGAGTTGTGGCAGAGACCCCGTCCCCGTAGCCCACAAAGACTACAAGATTTACTCGCTGAGCCTTTGTACAAGAAGTTTGCCACCCCCTGCTCTGGGTATAGAGATAGGAGTGGATGGCTTAAGTTTCTCGTGCCTTACTAAAAAGTGGAGCTCTTTGAGTTTGAAGACTCATCAATCTTAGGTGATAACTTAATGGTTTTGGAGTATTTTGCAGTATGGCACATGGCCTCGCCCCTGGTCTCTTAGTCATCACTCATTGCCAAGTGAGTGTGGAACTGGTTAGAATGTCATTATCTTAGTAGTGGCCTGTGGCTTAATAATGGCTTAGATGAAAGGGGCGCCTGGGGAGCTCAGTCGGCTAAGCATCTGCCTTCAGCTCAGGTCATGATCCCAGGGTCCTGGGATCGAGCCCCGCGTCGGGCTCCCTGCTCGGCGGGGTCTGCTCTTCCCCCCTGCTCATGCTCCCTCGCTCTGTCTCTCTCTCAAATAAATAAATAAATAAATAAATAAATAAATAAATAAATAAATAAATCTTTAAAAAAATAATGGCTTAGATGAGAGTATAAATATAAATATAAAATTTATTTTGCAGTAGTTTCTTTTAGGTTGGTAAAAATTTTTTCATGAGACAAGAAGACTTTTTTTTTTTAAACCAGCATTGCATGTGTTATAACTTTGGAGTTGTGGCTA